ATGTTATATTTTCTAATGCACGCACAAATTGCATGTATTCTGACAGCGCTGCACGAGCTCGCGCCGCAAGGGTTCAAAGTCCAAAGTGTGAGGAAAATCTGCGCTGAAACTGTGTTACTCATCAGTTGCTCAGTAACATTTTTGTGAACTTTTTAAAGGCATGTGACAGTGTGATACGTGCGACAAACATCTTCCCCGCCGCACCAGGGTTCAAAGTCCAAACCGCAAGGGAAATCTGCGCTGAAACTGAGTTACTCGTCAGTTGCTCAGTAACATTTTTGTGAATTTTTTTAAAGGCATGTGACAATGTGATACGTGCGACAAAAATCTTCCCAAATTCGTAATGAGAATCATTTATAAATCTGCATGCTGTTGTCAACAAAAAGAAGCACTGAGATCTTTCTGTGAAATTAAATAAAAAGTAAGACAATAATAATGATAATAATAATTACCCTACAACAGCTCTATTAATACATGTATTATAACATTCACACAGGGTTCAAATTGGGATCTGTAATATAGGCCTATTCTAATGTTTTAAAATAATTCTCTTCTGCTCAGCAAGGCTGCCTTTATTTGTACAGTAAAAAATACATGCCTGATTCAAGTTGGCTATTTAATTTATGCAATGGTGAAAAAAATAAATAAATATGATATAAAATATAAATAATATAAATATAATATAAATAAAAAAATTGCAAAATAGGCCTACATGGGGGGAAAAATGCGAAAAACCGTGTTCGGTATTTGGCCTTCTGCCCAGTGTTTCATTTTGTTCGGCTTCGGCCAAGAATTTTAATTTCGGTGCATCCCTAATATAATTGGCTGTTGCCCTGGCAACCAGTCTGCTACATGGCGCTAGTTTCAAGGATTGATCTGAATTGAGATGAAGTCTTTCATCTCACATGATAGAATAATTTCAACTTAAATTAGTATTTTATTTATCTATTGCAAAACAAAATATGGGGGTCCAAATTCTGCTTGTTTTGTTTGTTTATAAATTTGCTAAATTATCACCAATCTGTTTTTAGCTTACTTTGCCATTATGGGGTATGGAGATTAATTGAAAATAAAGATTAATCAAATTAATTATGTAGAAAAAATAAAATTTTAAATAAAGCTGATTAGCATAAGGCTGCAGCATAACAAATTGTGAATTCATTCATTAATTCACAGACAGACAATCTTTCTTTCTTTCTTTCTTTCTTTCTTTATAAATAACTTTTTATTGTGTACCTTAGTACCTTTCATAATGGGGTTTGGTGTAAAATAAAAAATAAATAAAAGTAAAATTAAAAATTCAATAAAAAGTAAAAGTAAAATTAGAAAAATTGTTAATGTTAATTATTGAATAATTATAATTATTTATTGAATAATTACTTATGATTAATTATTGAATAATTACTTATGATTAATTATTGAATAATTACTTATAATTAATTATAATTTTAATTATAATATTTAACATTTAATTTTAATAATAATACAAATAATTCATAATTAAAATTTAATTAAAATAAATGTCATAGCAGTTTAGCATAACACCGTATCCTACCCATGACGCCACGACCCACGATAAAAGGTATCTTTTCCATGTTAATCTTTTTTTTTTCCCCGTCCTAACCACACAAAGTTTCTATTTTAGAAACAGTTTCTATTTCTGCAATGTCGCAGCTGGAACAACAGCATACAAACTATGACAATGATAATCTCAGGTACTAATTATGTGCTTTATTCAATGTTAAAATTGTCTTAATGTGAGTTTGAATATCATATTGCGTGACATTTATAGCCATACTGAAAGCAACAACAGACAGTTTACCTCAGATCTTGAAAATAAATTAAAGCAAACATGTTAAAACTGCAAACTCAATGGGAACCAACAAGTGTTTTCCATGACAAAGATGGTATGTCACTCAGTATATAGTTTTAATTATGTTAAAAAGGTTTAATATGTATATACCTTATAATTATTACAAAATATGCAAATCACATCCACCGGAGTCTGTGAAAAGTATCCTTTGAAACGGTTTGCATTTTTCCACATTTTCAGTGTTCATATGTCCAGTGTCAAAAGTCATCTAACCCCTAGAATCATGCCCATGGTTTCACTTGAGCCCTGTGCATCATTAATTCAGAGGTAAGCCGAGCCACCCTGGAGATATGTGAATGGTTGCTTCACTAGCAGTAATTAAAATCTAGATTGGGCTGAGCAGCAGTCAATGCCCTCGAGCTTATTCTGTATGACTCCCATTTCAGTCTCTTGCCCCCTACCTTCTTCACGCACTCTTCCAGAAGCTTTCCTATTTTGATTGTTTAATTTCCCTTATGCTACAATGCCAAATGCAAGCAGCACTTATTCTGAACAATTACTGTATTCCCAGCAGGTACACAAATTTGCCTGGTTTTAAATAATGTTGTAAATAGTCACGACTTCAAAATGTTGAGTCATCTTAAAGGGATAGTTCACCTCAAAATTATTTGCTCTCCTTCATGGCATTCCAAACCTGTATGACTTTCTTCATACATATATATATATATATATATATATATATATATGTATGTATATATACAGGGATTGAAATTAACTTTTTTACTCACCAGCCAACTTGGCTACTAAATTTTTAAGTTACCGGCCATTCATAATTCTACCAGCCAAAAAAAAAAAACGAAATAAACCAACAGCTTGAGGCTGTCTACATGACAAAGCGACTGTTGCAAATAATTTTGTGTCGGTACTAAGGGTGTGCGATATTGACAAAAAATAATATCTCAATATTTTCTGGGATTTTATTGATAAAGATTGACACTCTGTTTCAAGGGAAAAGGGGAAGGGGTATAAAATAGAATTGGGATTGGGCCTAAGTGTTGCTCAACTTTCAGACTGATCAAAACTAGCAGCTATATGCATAAACGTCAAAAATGTTGTGATTGCTTACAATGTCATTTAGCATTTGGCAGACAGTTTTATCAAAAACATACATTGCATTCTAGCTATACATTTCATCATATTGTACATTCCCTGAGAAATGAACACATGAACTTGACATTCTTACCATGCACCATGCCCTACTGTCTGAGCTACATGAATCCTAACTAAAGTGACATGGGTGGTTTTATATTCTCAGTTCCTTACTGGAAAATTTGACAAAGGATCTAAGAATAAAGTAATCAGTGTTTAATCACAAACACCAATCCTGTTTCAAACAGAGACTAAAAAAAAACAGCTAGACTCAAAAATGCCAGGAATTCGGTCTTAACCAGCACAATGACAGTGTCAACACTTCTCATTGCCCGAATTAAACATGCATAAAACAAACTGTTCATCTATCAGACACACGCACAAAAGGAGGACACGCTGTAACATGGACACTTAACATATGTAGAGTGCCATTCATTTGCTCTCGCTAAATATAAGCCACGTGCAACACTCATGGTAAATCATGTGATGGGTTATGCCTGAAAACAGTCCTATGAAAACAGTGCCTTTCCACTGTCTCCGACATTTGGATATGATTGTCGCATTTTTCCCCCTAGCAGCAGTCACACAGAACTTTCAAACTGGTCGTGAAGCAATACCCTCAGCTTATTCACCATGGTAAAATGAATGATTTTATTGAATATAATGAATGTCTAAATATATCCACACAAAATAAAATGACCCCCAAAATAAAAACATAGTAGGTTAGGTTTTATGGGGCTAAATCAACATACATAATGATTTATTTTAAAATAATTATTTCTCCCATAATTATTCTAAAGCGCCATTTTACAGAAATAGTGTTTACAGAATAACGTTAAAGTGGAAAAATATCAGTAATTCTGACCTCACGCTCATAGTTTTGATTAGAATACATCACATCTGGTCGGGTGTTCGCATAAGGTCTAACCGCAGAAGTTCAAATATTTTAACGCATCCGAAGCTCAAATCGGATCCGAATTTTCTGCATGCGCATATGATCAGAGCTCAACGCAGCTCACACACTACTCTTCATTGGAAATGAATGACTTTAGGTCTATCTCTTGTTGTTTGTCAGAGACAGTGGAAAGGCGGCTTAAGAGCGGGAGCGGCCATTTTTATTTTGAATGTGCAAGTCTTCCACTGTCAGCCACTTATTTTATCTGTAAAAAAAACAGTTTGTCATGCTGCTTGATATTGCAAACAGGTATTTTTTTTTATCATATTGCAATTTATTATTGTAATCATAAACACACTGTTTTTACAATTTACTGCACTTGTTTTTCTGGTTATTTACCTATTGCGGCTGAATCTGAAGTCTTGTACATTCGCAGAAAATAGCTTACGTCCAAAAATAAATTAGACAATGGTGGGAAATTTGTTATTTATTACATTTTTTTTGCTGCTGCATTTATAAGAAATGCATGTCTGCATTCTCTGCATCTGCACACACTCTCAAAATCTAATTGCAAGTCCTGAAAATTTAAGGGAGCCATACAGTTAAAGAATGCAGCTGTCAATCTCTTTCTTAACTAAACCATGTACGAACAGTACCATATTTAGCACTCAAAAAAAGACTGACAACCGTAATTCTGCTGCTGTGTGATAGTTGTGACAGAATCACCAGACAATCCTCACTGAAAGTTATTGGTGAGACTTAAATGATCATGGACCTTCAAAATGAACTTTAGTCTTTAGTTTAACTTGGGGATCTTTGGGAAAGATATGCAGAGCGGAAAGTTCCACTACTTTTGAGGCATTTCCTTATTACCTCTATGACTAGGTGGAAGTTTTGCATCACCCAACAGAAATTACTGATGTGTAAACTAATGCATTTATCTGTGTAACATCACAAAAAATTCCAAATTAATTCTAATAAATGCTTTTTTGGACTTGGACTCTAAAGATCAAGAAAAGGTTGATTCCTTATGATATGACCCCTTTAATTTAAAAGCAAGTAAATGTTGTACTGAACATCTTTGACTTGTCTTTAATTCAAAATGTTAAAGTTAGGGCAAGCGACATCAAAAAGTTGCCTTACCTCTCCCGTATAGATCATGAGGGGCTTCTTCCTCAGCTCAACACACTTCCTGAGCTTACAGATCTGATGGCCCGTTTTTCGGTTCAGGCAACTCCTGCATTCCCCGCAGTTGATCTTGCGCAGGCAAGGTGTGCAAACACCACAGTGAATTCTCTTTTTCCTGCCCCTCTCTTGAACTTGAAGTAAACGCAGCTGAATATCCTCAACTTGGAGAGAAGGGTTTCCTGACGCCTCGTGCTCCAGAACCAACTCCGAGTCGCTGTCAAACGAGGACTGGGTGCTTTCTGTGCTACTGGAGAGCGACGCCGTCGCCTGAGGCCCACGGCCCATTTCACAAAGAGTGCTGTTGTAAATGGTCATGCTCAGCGAGAGGAGAGAAAGCGCCCCCTCTTTCTTCATCGACATTTCATCATCCCCATTTTCATCTTTGGTGTCCACGTCTACAGTGCTTTCAAACTCATTTTCCTTCTGGGGAGCATTTGCAATTTTTTCAAGTGCTGGTGATTCATTGGAGGACTGACACACTTCGGAGGCCACAGTCTCACCTGCTTCTGTAGAGTTTTCTGGAGTGGTTTGAAAATAATTGTCGGGAAAGTTCATGTGTGGAACGATGTGTTGAACCTCTTCAATCTGTCCTGAAACATACTTATCTGACTGTGAAGGGGCAGGAGTTGTTGGGACTGAGGTATTATTGTTGTAGGCAAAGTCCACATTATTGACGGGGCCGTGAGGGTCATGCTGCTCAACAAACGCTGTTTTCAGCTGCTCGGTAGGAGCAGAGTTTTGCACAGTTTCTGTGCCTGCTTTTACGGTCTCTTCCTCTGCCTTGTCAGTGTTGTGAACAACAGTTTCTCTGTGATCCTCCGCAGTTTCCTCTGAGCTTATGTTAACACTCTGTCCCTCAGTGGGAATTACAGCACCCTTTTGTTGTCCATCACCATTAGGATCATGAACTTCTGACCTTTTAGTATCAGTATCCTGTTCCCTGATCTCCAGACCTCCCTTTTTCTTTGTAACCACTCTCCTGTAGGACTCAACTTCCCTCGGACATGAGACACTATTACGAGGTGACTTCCCTTTCCCATTAAGTTTTGACAACAAGCCATTTTGGTTCAAAGAACCACGCGTGTGCCTGGATCCTTTAACAATGAGGACATTCTTGACTGTCTTCTTACTGGGCTTGCTGACAACAGTCCTCTGGGTCGCTTTGGCTGCCTGTTTCTTGTCTATGGCCTTCCTGATCTCGCCATTCGCTTTGAGCAAGTTGACTGTTTGCCTTCTAGTTGTGGAAGCTTTCACCCTCCTAACATTTTGCTTTTTGGATGCACAAGATGACTTCTTGGGAGTGTGAGGCATAGCTGAAGCCAGTGAGGGTGAGGGAGGAGGAGTTCAGGATAGCCGGCATGGAAAACAGTATAAAGATGACTCTGGGCAACAGTACTTTTCAGATCTTTCATGTAATGCTCCCTGTTTCAAGTAAGATCACACTGACATTTTTCCACTGATGACATATGGATGTATGGCTACCTGTGGAAAGGACAATTAATTATCGAATTATGTATCATGATGCAGCATCTTATTATGTTTATTAAAGACCCCTTAAATCAATATTGGTGTATGTGGCTTGTGGTCCATATTTGTAGGCTTTGAAGACAACTATATATTAGTGTTCTCCTAAAATTTGACAAAATTCACTTCAAAACTATTGATGTCGCAATCAGCTTCCTAGTTCAGGTGTCATGGTCAGGGAGTCGTATCACAGTAGTTAATTTAACAGAAATCACATCACATTTCTGAAGTGGGAAAAGTTAATTACACAAGACATCACAATACACACCATGGCATGTGTTAGAAGTCTTGAAAAGTCAAGCCGTTAATTCATTTAATTATATTTCAGCATAAACATATTGCTAGACAGTCACAGTAGTGACCATAATCTAGCTAACATTTGTAAATCATTTAAGGCTGAAATGTTGCAGGGATATAGTGTACATTCAAATTATTTTTCATAATGTACTTTAAACCGTATTACAAAATATTGTCAGAAAGATATTAGTCCTGCTGCTGTTGTTGATAAATAACAATGGTGATGTTTTACAAGACAAGTACGTTGTCACATTGCTGGAAATAGATTTATCAGTGTCCCAATGTGTAGTAAGTCAGGGTCCCTCCCTACTAGGGGTGGGGGAAAAAAATCGATACAGCATAGTATCGTGATATTTTCTGTGGCAATACTGTATCGATACACGGACGCCAAGTATCGATCTTTTATTATACTATTTGGTAGAATAATAAAATCAATTTCTTTACAATCCACTAGATAGTGGTGTTGATTTTTTTCTGGTGAGGTCAGCTGGGTTACCTTCAGCATGCAGCAAGTTAGTAAAATAAAGAGGGCAGCATCGCGGAAAGTTATCAGGAAAGCCCCGTCCGCGTTTAAATCGGATGTATGGACTTACAATAATATATATGGCGCGCCGCGTCGTACCCCACCCGGCAGTGTTCAGCGCGCATGTTTCACTCTCCTCGTCACTACGCGGTTTGACGCTCCGCTCAATATTCCGATCTATGAATGTGCGTTCCGCTCGTGTACCGGAAAAGCAAAGTCCGCTCAAATAATGTGCTGACAGGAAATTTCTATGCAGTATAGGCCTACTTGTTCCGGTTTGTAGTAGCGCTACTGTGCTGTAACATGGTGTAGGCTAGTTCAGCTGTACTGGGCAACACTGCTAAAATGATGCTACCTTCAGTGACGCTATGCTCTGCTCATATGCTCTGATAATAATAGCTTTGTAGGACTATACATTATTTGGATAATTAGTCAAAAA